CTGCTGACGAGTCTGTTCCTGGTCTTTTGCTCCTGCATGGGACCTTCATGGGAGCAGGCATAAGCTGGGCTCAGGCATTGCTACTGGCTGCCGGCATCTCTGGCTGGTGCAAGCAGGAGGCTCCTCACCCTGGAGATCAAATGGGTCCTGGCCAGCCCTGAAACCTGTGGGAAGTATCTGGGGTAGGTAGGCAGTGCCCTGTCCCTGCCCTCTTCTGCTGAGCCATCTGGTCTGGATGCTGTGGATGTTCCTGGAGAGCCCTTGCTGGCCCTTGCCAGGGCTGTCCATGAGACCTGATCCCCTGCCTTCAGGGTGCTGGGGGCTGGCAGGGAGACCCTTGGGGGCTGGTGGTGGTGAGCGGCGTGCTGGACGCCTTCACTCCAGCAGCATGGAAAGCCATCAGGGGCATTTGCAGGATGGATCCAGCTTTGGATACTTACCTTGGGCCTTCGAACAACTGTTGAGTGAATCAACTTAAGAGCAGGCATGACGTCATCATTGAAACCTTTATCCCTTGCCCTTAGGGTCAGCGTGGCTGTGCCAGGAGCTCCATGTGAAGTATAGGAACCAGTGTTGGCCACTGGCTCGAGCATTTTTCCCCTGAAAACTGCTCTTATTCTGAGCTAGAGCTGCCATAGGTAGGAGATGAGGGCTGTGGCTAGCTCTGGTCCATGTGGGGCACTCCTGCTGATCCACACCGCTGTCAGGGGCGGGGAACATGGCTGCGTGCCCAGCCTGCTAGCCAGCCAGTCACACACATCATGATGTCATTCTACCAAAAAGGCAGGTGACATCTGTTGTCAAGTGACATTTGTAGGACACCAAACTGGCTGTGATGCAATCAAGGTTGTTTCTGTTCAATGGAAACTTTTGGATCAGCTTACAAGCTGTGACACTTAGCGAAATGTTGTGAGCTCCATGGAGGGGCGAGTGCCTGTTTTCTAACCTTAGCCTTAGTCTCATCAAAACATGCCTCTTCATATAAGTGTCAGTATGCTCACCTTCTCCTTCCAGCCAGTGTTACAGGAGACGATCATGTGATCCACTCCCCTCTGTTCAGGAATGAAGTGCTGGGATTTTTTTCTCAAAAATAGCCCTATTCCTAGGAGTGATAAAAGACTTGGATAAGCCCATCAGGTTTCCACTCACAATGCTTTTTCTGCTGTGTAATTTAAAGAATGCGGTGAGCCCAGAATAACATGTATGCTATTCTGCCGGAGCATTTCGTTTTGCTGTTGATACCTTGTCCCCGCGGGACCAGGCTTGCTGCGCAATGTGTTGCAATGTTTCACATCCTGATGTACCATCCATCTCCTCCCCAGGATACCCGCAGCCGGAGGTGACGTGGTATAAGGATGATGAAGAGATGGACCGCTACTGTGGCTTACCCAAGTATCAGATATTCCATCATGGAAATCGTCACACCCTGCAGCTGTACAAGTGAGTAAAGAAGCTGGAGAGCGGTTGGATTTGGTGATGGGAGCTCTGAGCATGTACTTGGAGGAGCTGACTGTCGGCAGTGATCTCCCCCCAGCACCTGTGCTGGCCCTTTCTGCTCCCCATTGCAATGTTCCCAGCTGTCCCTTCCCCTTCAGCTCTTTGCTCTGATGACTCCCAGATCACATCAGTACGAGGTCCATTACTGCATCCAGAGATAGCTGCCTTGCAGAAGGAAGAGGAAGGTCAGGAGAAATTCTTCTCTCTGGAGCCTTCCAGTGCTGGTAGCAGCATGTGCTATGGCTGCACGGGACAGGAGCTGAGCATTAGGGCTGGATGAAGGTGAGCGAAGGGAAGGCACTGGGTGCCTGCAGGATGATGGTCCAGGGGATCAGGTAGGACAAGGACAGAAACAGTTCATAGGAGTATCATGAGGAAGAGCAAAGAGGGGAAAAGGGGTGCAGCCCTGTCCCAGGAGGGCCATTCCTAGCTCCCACCATGAGGTCAGGGAAGGAGAGGGCTGCTTTGTCACTCAGTTGATGGAGCCAAGGGCCTCCTATATTCAGCCCTGACTACCAGCTTCTTTTAATGTTAAAAGAGGACTGTGTTTCTGGAGAGCCAGGCATACCATGTCCCCAGCAAGCAGAGACCTGTCGCACCTCGAGTCCTGGATTGGGGATGTCAGACAGGTGTGGCACTGTCTGAGAGTGCAGAATATCGGTATTGCTGATAGTCCTGTCGTCCTCGTGCTTCTAGCCTGGGCTTTTCCGCCGCCCCAGGCGTGCTCCAGGTTTCCATCAGAGGCTGGTGCACCTCTCGCAGAGGCAGGGGTGTCCATGGGCCAGGCGTCCCCGAGGGGTGGCAGCAGAGACGGCATGCACGCGCTTGTGCTGGTGCCTGTGAAGTGAGGTGGGAAGGCTTTGGTGAGGCAGTAGGGTGGAGGAAGAACAGAAATGTCATGTAGGCTGTGAAGAGCTGAGAGAAGATCCTGCAGAGGAATGTGGCCAAGAACAGTTGGGAAGCCTGGTGCTAGCTGTTCCTCCTCCACCACAGCCCTCTCCTATCAGAGTTACAGCCCAGGGGGGAGCTGGGCGCTGATTTAACGTCCAACTTGCTTATCTGCTAGTGCTGAGCACAGGCAGAGCCCGGGGAGGGAGGCCAGTCCCAGGCCTCCAGATCTACTGCGGGCACCTCAAGGGCCACATCTTTGTCTTCTGGCCCCTCTGGAGCAAGAAGTGGGAGAGCGTGCGTGCCTGTGTGCCCAGCAGTAGTGCCTGGGGAGGACGGGCAGGTCTCATGCAGAGCTTTTGGTTTCCAGGTGCAGAGAGGAAGATGCAGGCATTTACCAGGCCTCAGCTAGAAATAACAAAGGCATCGTGTCCTGCTCTGGTGTGTTGGAAGTGGGAACCATGACAGAGTTCAAAATCCATCAGAAGTGGTTTGACAAAATTAAGAGAAAAGCGGAAGAAAAGCTACGAGAGATAGAATTGAAAGAGAACATGGAGCTGGAGAAGTTGCAGGGAATGAGCCCCGATCGGCTCCAGAGAAAGCGGAGGCTGGCCAGGGATCTGAATCTCCGGTCCGGAGCCTCTTCGTGGGAGAAGGAGGATGCAGCAAAAGTGCACGTCGCCGATTCTCAGTCCAGATTACATGAGGATATTGCCAAGCCGAAGGAGCAGCCAGTCAATGCAATGACAGGCTTTCCAAACAAACTGATAGCACCTTTGAAAGCAGAGGTGACCACCAATGGAGATGCCTCTTTGGAAAATGTGGAGGAGAATGGGAACGGCTTTCTCGCGTACCTCTATGAGACGGTGGAGGACCTAGCAAATAAGCCGATGGTCAAAGACTCCGCAGCTAAAAAGAAAAAGAAGGTGGAGGATCCTCCAGCAGCAAAGCAGGAAGTTTCCAAGCAAAAAGAAAGCGGGCGAGACAGGGCCAACCCCTCTCCAAATCCA